AGACCCCACAAGGCAACAAGAAATTGTCGACAAGTTTAAAAAAGAAAGACTGGGTGAAGGAAAGCTAGGAGACATTGAAGGCAATACTCCAAGGTCACTCTGGAAAATTGCAGGGACCCAACAGCGAGATCAACAGGAAGAGACATAAAACCTGATGTCACTAGTTCAGGACCAATCACAGGTAGTTAACTTGGGATTGGTATAAAAGGAAGGACACTTTAAGAGGGACATGAACGAGAATAGGATAGAATTATCCCCCTGGGCTTAGGACTTGAACAGAAATCAGACAAAGAAGTTTTTTAAGTTTTCTTCAGGCGTTCGTATGTATTCCAATAAACTCTGGTAGAAGACACCTATCTGACAGTTTCAGCACTGAGAGGAGTACAACTGGGATCACAGGGAGTGGTATTGGATATAGTACAGGCTAGATTATGCAGGGGTGAGGGGTGGTATATCCTTCCTGAGGGAAGTAATCAATGCTGCCCTCTCGGTCCTCCCAGCCATAATGGGGAGAAGCATGTGTGCGTCACTTATGTATCTCTCTTTCGACTTGCCGGGGAAAGGAACCGGACTGTTGCTCCCCAGAATGGCAGGAGCCAGAACCACGAGGTTCTGTTAAATAATAAAAAAAAGAAAAAAAAAAGGATGCCCCTCTGGATCCCTCCCCCATATCTATCTTCTAAGGCTCCCTCTCCTCTTCCTGCCTTAGCCCCAGCTACTACACATTAACTAGAAAATAGGCCCGACATGTTCTGGGGTGTCCTTCCTATATTTGGCTAATTGCCTGATTCGATGTAACGCCAACGGTACCCAAGGTAACTTCTGGTGGGTGATCAGTTTTGCCACCCATTTCGTCGGAAGCGCTTTAAGTTGCTGGTCTGGGTCTAAAATGCCCAATCCACCCTGTTCTTTCGTCCGAGTGACATGCTTCCATGCCACTTTAGAAATGAAGTGGGGCTTGGTCGTGTTGGAAGTCCATAGGTACACTGCTGCTCTTCGTCTTAATGTAGAGGGCGCCTGGGCTGGAGGAGTCCAGATCGTCCCCGCGTACCATAGCATAGAGAAGATGCATTCAGCATGAGCGCCCTTCCAAACACTGGCGTATAGATAGCCGACCAAACAGCTAATGTTGCTAGGGTCTTGGACATGAGTTCAGCTGCCATCGACAGGTGGGTGAGGTCCTGCGTCCGTCATCCTAACTCCTAGATATCTTAATGACGTCTATCCATTGTGCTCCTTCCGGATTTACGGCCAGCCACCAGCCTACCGTCTTTGGCCAGTTTATTTTCATTTCGGAGGCTAGCTGGAAGGTCTCCATCGCCCATGTAAAAAAAAGAAAAAAAAAAAAGAAAGAAAGGCAAGGGGTCTCAAGGTGCCAGGACAATAAGGACCCAGTTTTTTTAAAACAGAAGCAAAAAAACAGAAAAAAAGAAAGGAATCTCAAATGAAAGTTTTCAACATTCCCGTTGGCAATCTGTGTGCACTCTGCCATTCATTCTAAGCATACTTGCGGCGTACCTAAACGGTGCGCCGCGCGCTGTGCGCTCACGGGTGATACACGCGCACGTGCGCACTGAGCGCGCATGGTCAGTGCGCTGGAGTACGCCCGAGTGGCCCCCGGGCCCCCATGCCTGCGCACCTTCGGATGTGCCCTTTTTTTTTTGTGTGTGTACGGTTGATGCATGCATTTTGTTTGGTGTTTCACAATGCCCTTCTGCTGACACTATCGGACCGAACAAAATGCCTGTATCAACGGACACAATGTATTATCGATGCAGGGCCTCGCTCCACTGCTGTCCACATGCACAAAAGACTAAAAATATGGCGGTGTATCTTTCCATGTTCTAGCTGAAGATTCRTTTTCATTTTGCACATTTGGAGAGTGGTGGATCGAGGGCCATACAACAGTAGCTTGGGGCTCGCTCCACTATTCACCACACTACAGCTGGACTTGAATGTATAGGACCGCATTACTTGCAGTCGTGATTTGACAGATGTCCTATAACGGGCATGTGTAGTTGAGCGAGGCCCTACGGATTCTGGCGGCAGGTCAGTCTAATGATTGGCAGTGTGTGTCAATGCTGGAGACGTTAGGTAAAGATGGTGGTTGCGGCTGTACAAACTTCCCTTTGCTAATGTGTGACTTGTCGCTGTGCAACTTGGCCATCTGTCAGTGCCAGTGCCAGTGCCAGTGCCAGTGCCAGTGCCAATGCCAGTGCCTGTTCCAGGATTTGATAAAGTGTCTTCACCACCATGAGTGAGGGAGTCATTGACGTAGTGCCAGCGACCATGACAAGTCTGATGTTTGATGCCTTTCCGGTGGATCAACTTGGACGGATGGATCTTACAGACTTACACTCATTTTAGTAGTTTTTCACACTTTTTGGTACTTTTGACCATATTCAGGCCAGATTCACCGCTACAGGTGCAGTGAGCATGAGGGTTAATGGTTCTATGGCGAAGAAATTTTCTCCGAGACCCTTGAGGATTTAGCCATGCCAAACGCACATCATTGGCTCCTGCCTGTGCTGCTGCCAAGAAGGAGAGGACTGTGAGATAAAAGGTGGTGTGTGTGTGTGTGTGTGTGTGTGTGTGTGTGTGTGTGTGTTGTCATATTCGCTGTACAGTGTACACTAAAAAAAAGCACGACTGTGCCAGACTGTTTCGTCGGACTTTCACCGACTCATGTGTGTGTGTGTGTGTGTGTGTGTGTGTGTGTGTGTGTGTGTGTGTGTGTTATCGAGCACAATTGGGAATGTCTAGATTGGCTTGGCGAGCCAAGGGGAGGAGAGAAATGTGAGCGTAAGGGTGAACAATGGGGGTAATTGTATTCAGGCCAGATTCACCGCTACAGGTGCAGTGAGGACAAGGGTTAATGGTTCTATGGCAAAGGGCATTTCTCCGAAACAAATTGTGATTGTTGATCGCATGTGAATCAATTCGTCACAACAGAGACCCTTGAGGATTTGGTCATGCCAATCGCTCATCATTGGCTCCTGCCTGTGCTGCTGCCAAGAAGGAGAGGACTGTGAGATAAAGGGTGAACTTTGTGTCTGCAAGTGTGTGTGTGTGTGTGTGTGTGTGTGTGTGTGTGTGTGTGTGTGTGTGTGTGTGTGTGTGTGTGTGTGTGTGTGTGTGCCCATGCGCGTGTGCGTGCGTGTGTGTGTGTGTGTGTGTGTGTGTGTGTGTGTGTGTGTGCGTGTGTGTGTGTGTGTGTGTGTTCGAACAGATTTGGGAATGTCTAGATTGGTTTGGCGAGCCAAGGGGAGGAGAGAAATGGGATCGTAAGGGTGAACCATGGGGGTAATTGATGCAATGATACGGCAAATTCGGCAAGGTTATAAAAGTTCATAAATATTTCCTTTTTTGCCACAAAAGCCTTTGTAGGTTTTCCTATTCAACCTCTGCAGAATTGCACAGCACTGACACAAGGCAGGACGAGTTGTTTGCATTTATGTTATGTGCTTGTGAAGGCAGCCATTGTGGAGATGAGCAGCTATCAACTGGAACATCCAGGTTTCTTCAAGCCCAAGGTAAGCATAATCTCGACCTCCCCCCTCCCCTTCGCTCTCCCTCCCCTTTTCCCTTGGCCAGCCCCCTCTTACCTTGAGTTCTTGGTCCCGAAACGAAACAAAGTGGATTTTGATAACCAGAAAATGTCCCAATTCACATCGCCGCGCCACTGTAATTGCTCCTCATCAAGAGTGAAACTCTTGTTTCAGTGAAGAGAGTGGAGGGAGGATAGACAAGGAAGAACGTGGGAGAGGTATGCAAAGATCACACAATAGTAACCCAACTAATCCCACTTCTTCTGTGGGCTTCTTTTCCCTCTACATCAACAATCAATAAACAGTAACAAGTCTGATAAATCCCGGTCATACAGAAGTGCCATGTGGCACTACTCTCTGAAGGAGACAATGAAGACGACCAGCATCTCGCAATATCAACGTCAGCCTGAGGTAAGTATCCCGTTCCCAATCATCCACAGATCCCGATCTTCCTCCTCCTCACAACCAGTCACCTTATGTAGACAACGTGGACTATGCCACATCAGCAGTCAAGACAGGTGGCATGCGCCACATCATCAATGTAGAGAGTAGGCAGTGCCACATCAGTATGCAATGTAGTCCATAGGCAGCGCCACATCATCACGCAATGTAGACCAGAGGCATCGCCACCTCAGCATTGCCTGGCGCACAGAACAAGAAGCGCCAGCATGCTGCCTCCACCTTGTGCCGTCGTCCGCAACACCTGTGCACAGCCAGCTACTAGCCAGCGTCGCGCCAGCATAAATGCCAGCGTCTAGTCAAAGTCGAGCCAGCAATAAAGCAGCATAGCAAGACTGAATGCTGACCACCTCGAAGCCAGGCTTTAAGTAGCATTTGACGAGGCTGTCTGGCCTCGAGTCCTGTTCCCTCAGTTGTCCAGATTGCCTCACAGCTGAGGGCCCTGATCGTGTACAGTTGCAGTCTTCCCCTTGGACCTGATGCTGTCTGGGTACCTGCATACAAACAAGTGTGTGTGCTTGACCGGCGGCCTGGGCTGGGTACCTTTGGACTTTGACTGTTGGGGTCACGACAGTTGACAAAAGTCAACTGTCTCACGTCCAGGCCCTGAATTTTCATGTGGGGTCTTTTTCCCCCGTTTTGGCCTGGGTTGAGGGCGGCCAAGTAAGCCCTCAGACATTCTGCGAGACATATGGCATGGGTTATTGCAGGCGCAACTTTTCTTCTTCTTTTTGTTTTTTTTTTGTTCTTTCCGTGAGAGTACCAGAAAGAAATGGAGTGGTACCCAGGCTCGGCAAACTCGGAGCGCAGTGAAATTCAGGGTCGGCAAAAACAGGCTCGGGGCCACTAGTGGTTTAATATCTTAAAAAAAAAAAAAAAGAGTATATAAACAATAGTAAATGATAAATGGTAAATACTAAATAACAGTTACTTTTCCTACAGCTTTGCCAGTTCACGTTGTGCATTATTATTCAAATGATTTGTTAATTGATGATGAATTATGTAGTGTAAATTATATAAAACTGTGTACGGACGCCGCCCGTGCGGGCCGCCTGGGCAAACCGGGCGGGCAAAAAAACAGCCCAGAATTTTATTTTTAGTTTTTTTTGAAGGTGGGGTCCTCCTGTGCTCGGTGAGAGGACCCCGAATCTGCAATAAAATTCTGGTTT